ACTATGACAAGATCACAAAAGAATCCGAAGAAAAACAAAATGCAGATGTTGTATATTGAGACTTTACAAATGCATTCGACGTGTACCCATGGAATGGTAGTCCATAAAATATCAATATGAATGGCGGGTAAGATACGGCATAGGATTTTCAACTGTGTCAAACAGAATTTAAAGAATAACAGTCAATCAACTAAGAATAAGTCCAAGTGTAATAAAAACCTCTGTACCCCAGGACACAGTCCTTGCACCATTGCTCTTTCTCATTCTTATCTCGAATATAGATCTAAATCTGTATTCGCTAGAGCACAGGCGAGAGATTTATTATTATTAACATCTTTATTGACAAAATTAATTACAATTTTGCCTAATCTGAGGATTTTGATAGGTCTTATTAAAGTGAGGATAATGCTAGTATTCACTGTCACGCAGGACAGAGGGTCATACATAAGACAATAGGTCTAAACTGTAGGCTGAAGCACATATATATCATGGTTACAATCAATGTTTTAATGTGTGGATATGTGAAAACAACTTTCTATTGTGCACTGCCACACAAGGGCAGGGATGGGTTCATTAGTGATGCAGCTTAGAAGTAATATAAATAAAAATTGTTCTTCATTCTTTAAAATGGACAAGCAAATTTTGGGTAAATTGTTAGGATGTCGTCCAGAACACCCGAGTCAATGAAATAGTTACACAGTTAGTGGTACAAGAGGCCTGGAGGTCTAAAGTCCTTTACGGTTTCACATTCATCAATATAGTGTTCTAGTGAATGCATTAAAGGTTTATCACAGAGTTTACAATCTGAATATTCTGGTAGTGGCTCAGCCTCACTAACCTGCCAGATGTGTCTATAGCCAAGGCGAATTCGCGCAATGACTACATCACATTGCCTGGTCCGGTTACTGTGCTGACCATACAAATACCTATTATTACAAAACTTGTCATAACTTTTAATACTGCAGCTTTCAGGTCTCTGGGCATTTCTTAGTTCTTCTAAATCTGAATTAAGAAATAATAATCTATACGTGGAAAATATTAGAGACTGGTTCCAAATCCGAACCCAGAAATATCAGTACATGAGACCAGAAGGCATGGCAGGATCTTGAGGTTATCTTGAGATGATTTCGGGGCTTTAGTGTCCCCGCGGCCCGGTCCTCCACCAGGCCTCCACCCCCAGGAAGCAGCCCGTGACAGCTGACTAACACCCAGGTACCTATTTTACTGCTAGGTAACAGGGGCATAGGGTGAAAGAAACTCTGCCCATTGTTTCTCGCCGGCGCCTGGGATCGAACCCAGGACCACAGGATCACAAATCCAGCGTGCTGTCCGCTCGGCCGACCGGCTCCCCTGGTTGTGCAGAATATGTGCAGAATACCCCCGATAAAGTGCAGAGGTGCAACAGGTACTCTGGGGGAGAATATCAACATGAAGAGCCTAAGACTTTTCAACACTTCCACTACACATAAGGGTCATAACTGACCGACCTTGGTTGATGGGGTTCTGGGAGTTCTACTCCCCAAGCCCGGCCCGAGGCCAGGCTTGACTTGTGAGAGTTTGGTCCACTAGGTTGTTGCTTGCACTGGCCCGCAGGCCCACATACCCACCACAGCCCGGTTGGTCCCGCATTCCTTGGAGGAAACTATCTAGTTTCCTCTTGAAGATGTCCACGGTTGTTCCGGCAATATTTCGTATGCTCGCTGGGAGGTTCTTGAACAACCGCGGACCTCTGATGTTTATACAGTGTTCTCTGATTGAGCCTATGGCACCCCCTGCTCTTCACTGGTTCTATTCTGCATTTTCTTCCATATCGTTCACTCCAGTACGTTGTTATTTTACTGTGTAGATTTGGGACCTGGCCCTTCAGTATTTTCCACGTGTATATTATTTAGTATTTCTCCTATTCTGAATGGGGAAGTGAGTACTGAGCAGTATTCAAGACGGGACAGCACAGGTGATTTGAAGAGTACAACCATTGTGATGGGATCCCTGGATTTGAAAGTTCACGTAATCCATCCTATCATTTTCCTGGCTGCCGCAATATTTGCTTGATTATGCTCCCTAAAATTTAGGTCGTCAGACATCATTATTCCCAAATCCTTTACATGTTGCTTTCCTACTATGGGCTCATTACAGTGTTCAAGAGAGAGAACTCGACAAACACCTCCAAAGAATACCTGATCAACCAGGCTGTGATTCATAACGTCAGGCTGCAAGCAGCCGCGTCCAACAGCCTGGTTGACCATACGACCAACCGACTAAGGTAGGTAGACACTGTACAGAGGTAATCTAGTACTACTGAACGTATATTATTTGGCAAACAGAAGCTTAATGTACATTTCCTTTTAAGAAAGATCGTAATCCACCGTCTCTTGTGGCCACTATGTTAAGCATCGGACACCACCGACTGTGGTGATGGCGGTGACGTAACCGTAGACCAGGGAGGTGACGGCAGGAGAAGTAAACAATGACTGTGACAGTAACTGGTGTTACCTTGAGGTGTTTCAGGGCTTAGAGTCCCCGCGGCCCGGTCGTCGACCAGGCCTCCTGGTTGCTGGACTGGTCAACCAGGCTGTTGGACGCGGCTGCTCGCAGCCTGATGTATGAGTCACAGCCTGGTTGATCTGGTATCCTTGGAGGTGCTTGTCAAGTTCTCTCTTGAACACTGTGAGGGGTCGGCCAGTTATGTCCCTTATGTGTAGTGGAAGCGTGTTGAACAGTCTCGGGCCTCTGATGTTGATAGTTCTCTCTCAGAGTACCTGTTGCACCTCTGCTCTTCAACGGGGGTATTCTGCACATCCTGCCATGCCTTTTGGTCTCATGTGGTGTTATTTCTGTGTGCAGGTTTGGGACCAGCCCCTCTACTATTTTCCACGTATAAATTATTATGTATCTCTCCCGCCTACACTCGAGAGAATACAGATTTAGGCATTTTAGTCAGTCCCAGTAGTTTAGATGTTTTACTGAGTGAATTCTAGCAGTAAAGGATCTCTGCACGCTCTCCAGGTCAGCAATTTCTCCAGCTTTGAAAGGGCCTGTCATTGTGCAACTGTACTCCACTCTAGAGAACACTAGCGTCTTGAAGAGTATCATCATCGGTATAGCATCTCTAGTGTGAAAAGTTCTTGTTATCCAACCTGGTTTTTTTTCTTGCAGTTGTGACGGCTACTTTATTGTGTTCTTTAAAGGTAAGGTCTTCCGACATGAGTACACCCAAATCCTTTACATTGCTTTTTCGTTCTATGGTATGATTTGACTGAGTTTTATACATAGGTTCAGTTTTTATATTTTCATTTTTTCCGTAGCGCAGGAACTGGAACTTATCTTCATTAAATACCATATTATTTACACACAGAAATCATAATAACGTGATGCATGAAATGATGTCCGATATGAAGACAAATCACGATTGATGGTCCACAAAGGCCGTAAGGGCGAAGATGGAGAACGGCCTATTGACATAGTTCGAGTGCATGGGGGGATTGATTGTTGCTGCCGAAGGCGGCTAGTTTATTGTGCACCCCATACTCATCCTGTGAGCGGTAGCGCAAAAGCATTACAGAGGGCACAAAAGGTCTTTATCAGACCTCATCTTAGATTATTACATAAACAATTTCTTCAATCCTTCACACCTTATAGATACAATGTCAGCTAGTTACAGAGAAAGTGCTATTACAAGAGCTACATATTTACAGTAAGTCATCATACATTAATGGTAGGTCTTGTCGTTAATACATAATAGTTTGGCCAATGGGGATATTACAGAGTCATAGGGGAGCTTCTGTTTATTATTAGTCCTCACAATACACTACTTGTTTCTGAATCTCATATGTCGTTCATCTACTGGAAGCAAAATGTGGGTACAGTGCAAGGATTTCAGGTAATTTATCCATGGTAATAAGATAGGTTGCCATATCATACAGAGTGAGCTTAGATTTATCTCTAAAAGGCTCAATGTCCGGGGTTATGGAGATGCTGTGATTCCAAGTATTTAGTGATCTTACTTCTTAGCACTCTCAAAGATTTCTATGATGTGCGATGTTAGTGCTATCAGTATGTAATTTTTTGCCTCTGCCTTATTTCCTCCTTTATGAAGTGTTGTTTTGTCAGCTGATCGTAGAATTCTAGTGAGGCAAGATTTACCTTCCCCGAACTCATATTGGTGGTTTGACATGAAGTCCTTTTTCTCCAGATGTGTTACTAGGTTTTTTCTCGCGATCTTCTCCATCACCTTGCATGGTATACAAGTTAAGGACACTGGCCTGTAGTTCAGTGCCTCTTGTCTGTCACCCTTTTTGTATATTGGGAAAACATTAGCCGCCTTCCATACTTCTGGTAGGTCTCCCGTCTGCAGTGACCTACTATACACTATGGGGAGTGGCAAGCAAATTGCTTCTGCCCTCTCTTTCAATACCCATGGTGAGAGATGTGTGGGTGAGTGTGTATGGATGTTTAGCCATAGAGGGCATGTGTTCTGGAACCTGCGTCAGCAAACTCTGATACATTATGAGGATGCTTGTAGGAGAGAGCAAACACCTAACAATGAAGAAGAGCACCAATATGAGAGCAGACAATTTGTTAATAGAACTTAGTAAGTAACAAAAAATCAAGTCTAAGCTATGTGTTTTCTCTACATAATAATCAAGTCAAGTGGCGTCTTATGTTTAAGGTGTCACAATTACTGGACAACCAACAGCCGCCGGCTCCTAACTCGTTATTAAGCCACTTTTCACCTAACACCCTTGTCTTACTATTAGTACTCAGTATACAAACAAATGTATTAAATAGCTTTAGAGAGAGAAGTGTAAGAGTAGATGTGGTGGAGGAGACAACAAAGAGAACGTCAAGGTAAGGAGTGAAGAGGATGAGAGCAGCACAGGATGAAGACCCTGCAGGAGGGGAGGGGGGGAGGGGGGGGGCTGTAACTTAGGGAGGAGACTGAAGGGAGGAGGGGAGGGGGAAGGAAAGAGAGGGGGGGAGTCCCCGAGGCGAGGTGCAAGATGAGCGCCGCACTAGCGGTCTTGCCTCCACTTGTGGCCACAAAATTAGCAATCATCAGAAGCTTTCTAGTGACGCCGCCGCCGCTTCTTGCTCTTCCGTGCACCAGCACTCATCACCCCCACACCTTACACCTGCGTGCACCAGCTCTCATCACCCCCACACCTTGCACCTCCGTGCACCAGCTCTCATCACCCCCACACCTTGCACCTCCGTGCACCAGCTCTCATCACTCCCACACCTTGCACCTCCGTGCACCAGCTCTCATCACCCCCACACCTTGCACCTCCGTGCACCAGCTCTCATCACCCCCACACCTTGCACCTCCGTGCACCAGCTCTCATGACCCCCACACCTTGCACCTCCGTGCACCAGCTCTCATCACCCCCACACCTTGCACCTCCGTGCACCAGCTCTCACCACCCCCACACCTTACACCTCCGTGCACCAGCACTCATCACCTCTACACCTTGCACCTCCGTGCACCAGCTCTCATCACCTCCACACCTTGCACCTCCGTGCACCAGCTCTCATCACCACCACAAACACCTGTCCACCCAACAGTTCCACTGACAATATAACTATTTATAAGATAACCAACCTAACATGTAACTGTTTCCGCAGACATGTTATATACACTTACAATAAAAGTCGCGATCAGTTCCAGAACCCTGACAATAAATAAGGTGACCGCAACAAAACGTCCACGTGAACGAGCACATGCAAGCTAGGCGCTGCCGGACACACACACACGTCCATATTACACTGTCCTATAACAGTGCTAACAGCAACAGTTGTGCTGATCCTGTGGATAACAAGCCTAAAATAACTAAATTTATACAGTCGCAAAAGAAGAATAATACGAAGAATTTAATACAAGTGTTTAAAATCATCGAATGCAATACAAATATTAATTCTGAAATTAATTTCCGAATTAATGGTTTTAAAAGTACGAGAAAACTACCTAGAGATATAATAGTTTGGTACAGTATAAACGTTTAAGCTAATTAGGCAAGCACTTGTCCACTAATTTCCTGACACCACCTTTTACTTCCATAAGAATTCTATAAACTGCCTAACTTGGATCTAATGGTCTGCTGCTGTTTATAATCATCTGTAAAGTGGTGAGCCACTCAAGGTTACTTCGAGTTGGTTCCGAGGATCAATATCCCAGTGGCCCAGTCTCACCAGAACACGTTGTTGGTGGTCTGGTCAACAAGGCTGTTGGGCGCCGCTGCTCACAGTGTCTCATCTATTACAGCTCATCAGACTGGGTATCTTCTCAAGGAATTTATTAAGTTCTCCTTTGAATACTTTGACGTCGGCTAGTTATGTCCCTTATGTTCTCATGGAGGGTGTTACAATTTTTCTCTGAACCCTTTTTGCCCGCGGCTGTGTAAAGGTTGTAACTTCATGGGTTTTAGGATCTTACTTTCTACCACTCTTCCAACCATCTTTGTGAGTATACCTGGAGTTGTTCTGGTCCTCAAGTCCGGCCTGGGACGAGGGTTGACTTCTAATTTGGTCCAACAGACCAAACGAAATGCTTCCATGCTTGCAGGCCGCATGGAACGGCCTGCAAGCACCCACATCCACTACGACCTGGTTGCTCCGGCACTTCTTGCAGGGAAATGTCTATTTAGTAGAAGTTCACCTTTGTTCCAGCAATATTTCCTATGCTTACTGGGAGGATATTAAAACAAAACTTAACTTCTTAAACTGTAGCAGCCTAAGATTCTTACATGTGAATACTGAAAACAATTCACTCAAATTTTCACCGAGCCCACAGCAACTGACCACCAACCCTGCTGCTCCTTGTTCTCTTCCAGCATTAATATCTTGGACGGCGGCGTGTTCCTCCGCCTCCTCTTGAACTCCCCCACCACCACCACCTCCCCCTACCCCTCCCCCACCACCAAGAACGCCCTCAAGGCCGGGACGAGTAGCCAGCAAGGGCCGGAGTGGCGGGTATCACCTGCCGCAGATTAATTATTTATATCTAGGCGTGCGTGCCAAACTTGTTTCCCTGGAGTCTGGAAGACCGAGTCAGCGTGACAGGGTCCTCCATAACCCAAGGGAACAAGTGTGGCACGCGCCAATGGTGGGTGGCTCAGGTAGCGTCCATGTGGGAGAGAGAACAAAACACCACGAGGCAATAGTGAATACAGCAACTGGTAGACAGACACGCCACTAAATATAACTTGCGCAGCAAAATGTAAGGGGCAAGACTTTCACAGCAGCACATAAGATTATTATAGTACCAAAAATGGGTAAGAAATAATGCACGTCGCCTTAACAACACGGTCATTGTTGTTAAGGTAAAGGGAGGAGCAGGAAGGTGTCCCAAATAAGAGGACCGCGGCACCACGGACGACTACAAGAGCCCCACACAAGACATCCACAATACAGCAACAACTATGACAGCAACTAAGACTCAAATAACGTATGCTGAGCCATTATAAGTGCGAAACATATAAATATAACAGGAACAAATGATTGAAGCACATAAGGTTGACAGACAGTTCACAGGGCAGTTACAACGCCAGCATAACTACCAAGTTCAGGTTCACGCACCACTGCCCTTACCTAGAGGTTACCCTGAGATGTTTCGGGGCTTAGCGTCCCGGTGGCCCGGTCCTCGACCAGGCCTCTCGTTGCTGGACTGGTCAACCAGGCTGTTGGACGCAGCTGCTCGCAGCCTGACGTATGAGTCACCAACCCGCTCTCGCACAAGACAGTACATATATGACTTATTGCTTGTAGTCACTCCTTGGCTGATCAATAAGTACATATGTGGTATATACCAAGTTATATTTTGTTTTTAAGGTACAAACTCTTCCTATAGATTTGCTAAACACCAGTTTTTATATTAGGAATTTCTTTTTCAGCTTTATTAAGCAATAGAGATTTTATACAATATTTGACAATATCCTGAGATACTTTACAATTTATTTAAATATTTTGGTTTTGACTTATTATTTTTGTAAAACTGTAATATCTATATAGGTATAGGTTAAGTAATAATTGTAATCAAGAAGCAATAAGATGTTTATCTTAACATACTAAGGTTAGGTTAGGTCTGTGTTTCCTATTACACTTTTCAAGGTAAACTAAAATATTCACAATAAATTAGTATGCCACATATGCACTTATTAATAAGCCAATATTGACAATAAGCAAGTGCGAGAACGGGATGGAGTCACAGCCTGGTTGATACGGTATTCTTTGGAGGTGTTTATCCAGTTCTCTCTTGAACACTGTGAGGGGTCGGCCAGTTACGCCCCTTATGTGTAGTGGAAGAGTGTTGAACAGTCACGGGCCTCTGATGTTGATAGAGTTCTCTCTCAGAGTACCTGTTGCACCTCTGCTCTTCAACGGGGGTATTCTGCACATCCTGCCATGTCTTCTGGTCTCATGTGATGTTATTTCTGTGTGCAGGTTTGGGACCAGCCCCTCTAATATTTTCCACGGGTAAATTATTATGTATCTCTCCCGCCTGCGCTCAAGAAAATACAGATTTAGGCATTTTAATTGGTCCCAAGAGTTTAGATGTTTTACTGAGTGGATTCTAGCAGTAAAGGATCTCTGCACGCTCTCCAGGTCAGCAATTTCTCCAGCTTTGAAAGGGGCTGTCATTGTGCAACAGTACTCCACTCTAGAGAGCACTAGCGTCTTGAAAAGTATCATCAAGCCACATTTATATTTATACACATTTGTGTATAGCATCTCTAGTGTGAAATGTTCTTATTATCCAACCTGTCATTTTTCTTGCAGTTGTGATGGCTACTTTATTGTGTTCTTTAAAGGTAAGGTCTTCCGACATGAGTACACCCAGATCCTTTACATTGCCTTTTCGTTCTGATTTGTGTTATGATTTGCAGAGATTTTTACGTGGTTTCCGTTTTTATATTTTCATTTTTTCCGTAGCGCATGAGCTGGAACTTATCTTCCTTAAACACCACATTATTTTCTGTAGCCCATAGAAAGACCTGATCTACATCTTATTGGACGTTTGCCGTGTCCTCTATGTTATCTACTCTCATAAAAATCCTAGTGTCATCTGCAAAGGATGATACAGTGCTATAGATTGTGTCCCTATCTGTTCGATATGAGGATGCAACCCGTTCTCGTACTTTCTTCAGTCAATATTGACTTATTAAATACGTGCATGTGTGACATACTAAACATACTAGTTTACCTTGAAAAGCTTCATAGAAAACACCGACCTTACCTAACCTTCTTAGTATGTTAAGATAAGCATCTTATTGCTTCGTAATTACAATTTTTACTTAACCAATACCTATAATAGGTTTAGGTTGGATAGGTTGGATTCAGAGCGAGAAGATCATGCTTCTCACGGCTACTTGATACCTATAATAGGTTTCTCACAGCTACCTATACCTATAATAGGTTAAGTAATAATTGTAATTACGAAGCAATAAGATGCTTATCTTAACATACTAAGAAGCTTAGGTAAAGTCGGTGTTTTCTATGAAGCTTTTCAAGGTAAACTAGTATGTCACATATGCACATATTTAATAAGTCAATTTTAACTAAGAAATTGCGAGAACGGGTTGGAGGATGAGAAAAAGTACTGGAGTAAGCACAGTACCCTGGGGGACTGAGCTCTTCACGGTTGATGGTCCGGATTTTATTTTGTTGACTATTACACATTGGGTTATATTAGTCAAGAAATTGTAGATCTATCTGCCTATTTTTCCGCTAATTCCTTTTGAACGCATTTTATGTGCAATAATACCATGGTCACATTTGTCAAAGGCTTTTGCGAAATCTGTGTAAATTACATCAGCGTTTTGTTTGTCTTCCATAGCATCTAATGCCATGTCATAGTGGTCCAGCAACTGTGACAGGCAAGAGCGCCCTGTTCTGAAACCATGTTGTCCGGGGTTATGGAGATGCTGTGATTCCATGTATTTTGTGATTTTACTTCTTAGCACTCTCTCCAAGATTTTTATGATGTGCGATGTTAGTGCTATCGGTCTGTAATTTTTTGCATCTGCCTTATTTCCTCCTTTATGGAGTGGAGGATAAGTTCCAGCTCATGCGCTACGGAAAAATTGAAAATATAAAAACAGAAACCACGTACAAAACTCAGGCAAATCATAACATAGAACGAAAAGGCAATGTAAAGGATCTGGGTGTACTCATGTCGGAAGACCTTACTTTTAAAGAACACAATAAAGTAGCCGTCACAACTGCAAGAAAAATGACATATTGGACAACAAGAACTTTTCACACTAGAGATGCTATACCGATGATGATACTTTTCAAAACGCTTGTGCTCTCTAGAGTGGAATACTGCTGCAGATTGATGAAGATTAAGCCACCCAAGAGTTGGCACGGGCATGAATAGCCCGTAAGTGGTGGCCCTTTTGAGCCATTACCAGTATCCAGAGCTGATACTGGAGATCTGTGGAGGCGCGACTGCACCCTGCATGACGGGAGATGTCTCCCGGACCAAATGGTGACCAGATGGTCTACTGCTGCACAATGACAGCCCCTTTTAAAGCTGGAGAAATTGCTGACCTGGAGAGATGATGAAGATTAAACCATCCAAAAG